CCGTCCCCTGAAAGGCAACGGGAAAGATATCCTAGGGTAAGGATTAAGATAAACTAATACCTAAATAGTCTATCAATTTAAAAAGCGCATCCAGTGGGTCAACTTTATCCCACGCGTGGGGCTGAGGGGGGAGAGCCAGCCCAGGAAGGGGCGACCCCCGGGGACACCAGGTGTGACTCGCTCTCGAGAGGTTAGATGAGACGTGGCTGTTTCTTCCCCTTCTGTCCTTTCTTACTTTCCTAAGGCTTGGGGGAGCCACCCTCTCGTCATATCCCTCAGTCATTGCTGAAAGCTTTAAGCCCCCGTTGAGAAAACGTGTTCTCCGCGCCCCGGCCCCTCGGGCGGCTGTCTCATCGCACGAAAATGCGTCTACGGGGGAGGAACAGCTGCGGCTGCCTCGACTCCGAGCCTGAGACTCGGGTCTGGACAGATGCTCACAGCTGAGCCACTCGGCATAAAGACACCGCTGTGCCCGGGGCGAGGGGACAGGCCGTGCGCTGAGCTGGGGACACGGTGGACAGCAGGCGACAGCTGCCGCGGTCGGCGGTCCTGTCCCCTCGTGGGAAACGCACTTTCCGTGCAGTCACATGTGTGACGCGGGGGGGCACGGACACGGAACCGCGCTCACGTGTAACTCATGAGTATGTAAAAAGTGAGACGGATGGAAACGCGACGAGAAAAGCACAGTGTGGGCACAGATTTCTTTCCAAACTGACTTTTCCATTTTTTTAAGCCAAACCCAGAGGAGTGAGGATATTTTTTCCATTGATTTTTTTTTTTTTTAGAGAGAGTAGAAGGGAAAGGGGGGGGAGAGACATCGATGAGACAGAGACACATCGACTGGTTGCCTTCCACACAAGCCCTGACCAGGGGAGGGGATCAAACCTGAAACCCAGGGATGTGCCCTTGACCGGGAATCGAACCCATGACCCTCCAACACTCCAACCACTGAACCACTCCGGCCAGGGCAACTTCTCCATTATTGACATTAGTTATAAAATCGTTCTGGAAATAAAAAGCGATGTAGGAACACTGGCAAGTCCTATCTGGAGGTTCTGGCCGTCCCTGTGCCAGTGGCTTTATCACCTGCGGAGGAACCGGGAGGTGTCCTGAGAGAAGCAGGTCCCTGCCAGCGGAGCAGCGTCCAGCCTTGGGCCGGGAGAGAGGGTCTCTGGGGACAGGGAGGAGGGGGGCCACACAGTAGGGCAGCACCCGGGGTCCCAGCACTGAGGGGACAGACGCCCAAGCAGCCGCCCCCCCCCCGGGACGCGGCTCCCACAGGGCAGGGCTGTGAGGCTGCGGCTTCGGGCCTCGTGGCTCTCGGCCGTCAGGGTGCCCAGGGCGCACCCCGTGGTGCCCGACCCCGGCAGGGGCCCACAGGCTGCACACGGACGTTCCCGGGAACTGCGTTCCTCATCGCCAGGACCTGGAAGCCACCCAGACGCCCTCCCGCAGGCGATGGATAAACAAGCTGTGGTCCGCAGAGGGCGGAATATTACGCAGCAGCCAAGAGAAATGAGCTGCCAGCCGTGAAAAGACCCAGAGAACACGAGCTGCACGCGACGACGCGACAGAGGCCAGTCTGAGAAGCTCCGGGCCGTGCGAGGCCAACTGTGCGACACTCTGGAAAAGGAAAATCACAAAGACAATAAAAGGGTCAGTGGCCGTGCCCCAGCCGAGCCGCCCCGCACACCAAAGGCTGGGGGCTCAGTCCCCGGCCAGGGCCCGTGCAGGAAGCAGCCACGGAAGCTTCTCTCTCCCCCCCTTCCTCTCTCTAAAAATCAGTAAAAAACATACCCTTGGGTAAGGATTTAAAAAAAAAAAAATCAGTGGTTGGCAGGGGCTTGGGGGAGACACGGGGATGCACCGAGGGCGCACAGGGACCTCAGGGCAGGAGAGCCACCGACGTGACACCGTGACGCCGGCGCAGTGCCACAGACGCGCAGGGCACAGCGAGCACGGGCGTGAGCTATGGGCTCCAGCTAACAGCAATGCGCCACCATTTGCAGCAACTGCACCACAGTAACGCAAACGTTCATAATCAGGAAACCGCGGGAGCCGGCGGGTTACGGGAACTCTCTGTACTTTACGCTCAATTTTTACGTGAACCTGAAATGGCTCTAGAAAGTAAAGACGGTATTTTGTTAAAGTACCACTTAGAATAAGAAGTGAAACAGAGCACAGCACAGGGCACACGGTCAATAATGTCGCAACGACGCACGGTGCCAGGTGGGCGCTGGGAATACCGGGGGGAACACTTCGGAAAGGACGTGATCATCTGACCACGAGGCTGTACACCTGGAACTAACACAAAATAACACGGGATGTAAGTTGTAACTGAAAACTGAAATTTTAAAAACTGAAATAGTAATAAATAACATATACGACGACTCTGTAAAAAAAACACAAGAAGTGTTTTTCTTCCATTGACGAAAGACCTAATTAAACAGAGATACTCTGAGTTCAGGGTAGAAGAGTCTGTCCTGTTAACCCGTCTGTTCTCCCCAGGTTGGTTCAGACACCCCACGTAGCCCCAACCAAAACCACAGGGGGACTTTCCGGTCTGCCACCAGGGTCTTTCTAACACGTGCCTGGAAAGGCAAAGAAGCCACAGCAGAAAACACAATTCTGAGAAAGAACAAGGTTGGAAGACACAGCACCTGACATTCTCACTGACGGACGCGATGCTCGCACGGCGTGGCGCCCCCGGCAGGACAGGCCCGAGCCCGCCCGCAGGGCAGGGCCAGGCCCGCAGACAGGTGGGCGCTGACAGGTGGCAAAGGTGCACCTAACTCGGGGGAGAGCCCTTAGATAAACCTGAAACACAGAAGCACGAGCTACTTAAAATGTATTTGACAAACTGGACTTCCACAGTAAAAGGCCTGCTCTGTGGAAGACGCTGTCGGGAAGAGATGACCAGCCACGGCGGGGCGATGTCTGCAAAGCGCGCCTGACCGAACGGCGTCCGGGCCGGAAAGGGCACAAGCCCAGGACACAGGCGACCTTCACGCTCAGCAGTCAGAAACGACCGAGTGGGAAAGGAGAGGAGACGTGAACAGACAGTGCACGGGAGAGGGAAGCCCACGGCAGAGAAGTGCATGAAACCACGCTCGGCCGCCACGTCGCCGCGAAACGCAAAACGAAACCACTTGAAATCCCGCTACAGGCGTCGGCTGCTCACAGTGGAGCCTGTTCTGAGAAGGGCGCGGTGAGGCAATGCTGTCGCTGTGCGACCTCAGAGAGGCACCTGCACACAGCTAAACGGGACAGCCCGGCACAGCAGGCCCGTGCATGGCCCACCACACACCCGGACACACCCGGGCCCCGTGCACAGCCCGCAACACACCCGGACACACCGGGCCCTGTGCACAGCTCGCCACACCCGGGCCCGTGCACGGCCCGCAACACACCCGGACACACCCGGGCCCGTGCACGGCCCACAACACACCGGGCCCCGTGTACAGGCCAACACACCTGGGCTACANACACACCCGGGCCCGTGCATGGCCCACCACACACCCGGACACACCCGGGCCCCGTGCACAGCCCGCAACACACCCGGACACACCGGGCCCTGTGCACAGCTCGCCACACCCGGGCCCGTGCACGGCCCACAACACACCGGGCCCCGTGTACAGGCCACCACACACCCGGGCCCTGTGCACGGCCCACCACACACCCGGCCCCGCGCACGGCCCGCCACACACCCGGCCCCGCGCACAGCCCACCACACACCCGGCCCCGTGTACAGCCCACCACATACCCGGGCCCGCGCACAGCCCACCACACACCCGGCCCCGTGCACAGCCCACCACATACCCGGGCCCGTGCACAGCCCACCACACACCCGGCCCCGCGCACGGCCCGCCACACACCCGGCCCCGCGCACAGCCCACCACACACCCGGCCCCGTGTACAGCCCACCACATACCCGGGCCCGCGCACAGCCCACCACACACCCGGCCCCGTGCACAGCCCACCACATACCCGGGCCCGTGCACAGCCCACCACACACCCGGCCCCGCGCACGGCCCGCCACACACCCGGCCCCGCGCACAGCCCACCACACACCCGGCCCCGTGTACAGCCCACCACATACCCGGGCCCGCGCACAGCCCACCACACACCCGGCCCCGTGCACAGCCCACCACATACCCGGGCCCGTGCACAGCCCACCACACACCCGGCCCCGCGCACGGCCCGCCACACACCCGGCCCCGCGCACAGCCCACCACACACCCGGCCCCGTGTACAGCCCACCACATACCCGGGCCCGCGCACAGCCCACCACACACCCGGCCCCGTGCACAGCCCACCACATACCCGGGCCCGTGCACAGCCCACCACACACCCGGCCCCGCGCACGGCCCGCCACACACCCGGCCCCGCGCACAGCCCACCACACACCCGGCCCCGTGTACAGCCCACCACATACCCGGGCCCGCGCACAGCCCACCACACACCCGGCCCCGTGCACAGCCCACCACATACCCGGGCCCGTGCACAGCCCACCACACACCCGGCCCCGCGCACGGCCCGCCACACACCCGGCCCCGCGCACAGCCCACCACACACCCGGCCCCGTGTACAGCCCACCACATACCCGGGCCCGCGCACAGCCCACCACACACCCGGCCCCGTGCACAGCCCACCACATACCCGGGCCCGTGCACAGCCCACCACACACCCGGCCCCGCGCACGGCCCACCACACACC